AGTATAGAGAATTTTTTCAAAATGTGTACAATGTTATTAAATCTCTTTCATGATAGTCATGATATTTTATATACAAACCTTTCTTGACATTCAAAACCTTTATTAAACACAAATTGTGACCAAAAAAACTACAATAATTGTCATGTATAAGATTTTCGTGATAGTTAAAATTGTCAATACAAAGGTATTCATGATGATTAAAAATTGTCAATATAAAAAATTTCATGACAGATAAAACTGCCAATATTGATCGTTAAAACTATCACTATAAAGTTTTCGTGACATTTTAAATAATTATTATTATGTTGTTCTTAACGTTTATAAACAGTCATTAAAAAAATTCATGTCAATTTTGAACTATCGTTAATAAACATTTCATGACAATCATAAATTGTCATTAAAAAATATTTCGTGACAATTATAAATTGACATCATTCAATATTTGTTGACATAGGAAACAAAATCTTTTATTGTTTCAGTGACAATTATAAATTGTCATCAAATAAGTTTTTGTGACATTTTTTAATTGTGATGGAAGATCTATCCAAGACAAATTATAACTGTAGTTGTAAATGCATTAATGACAAATTTTCAAAAAATGTCATGTTCTCCTTTTCCTTATGCCTTAATCCATGACAGATTAAGTTAATGACAATTTTAAACTGTCATTGAAACCCAAATTTCTAGTAGAGCTAGTGTCATCACCCCCAACAATGACCTTCACTAGGTCTGAGGTAAACTCTTTAATAATGACATTCACTAGGTCTGAGGTAGAACTCCTAAAAAAAGACCTTCAAAGGGTCAAAGGTAAACCTCTCACCCTAAAAAATGACCTTCACTAGGTCCGAGGTAGAACTCCTAAAAAACGGCCTTCAAAGGATTTTAGGTAAATTCTTCATCCTCAAGATCGACCTACACCAGAGTCCGAGGTAAAACCCCTCAAGAAGAACCTACCCATGATCTGAGGTAAACTCCTCTGCCAACAATGACCTTCACTAGGTCCAAGGTAAACTCCTTTGCCAACAATGACCTTCACTAGGTCCAAGGTAAACTCCTCAAGAATGACATTCATTGGATTTGAGGTAGAATCCCTAAAAAACGACCTTTAAAAGGGGTCCAAGGTAAACTCCTCACTAGGTTCGAGGTAAAACTCCTAAAAAACAACCTTCAAAGAGTTCACGATAAACTACTCATCCTCATGACCGACCTACACCAAAGTTCGAGGTAAAAAAACTCCTCAAAACCAACCTTCAAAGGTTTCGAGGTAAATTTCTCACCCAAAAAAGTGACTTACACCATGGTCGTCCGAGGTAAAACTCCTAAATAAGGACCTTCGCTAGGTCCGAGGTAAAACTCTTCTAAAATGACCTTCAAAAGGTCTGAAGTAAACTTCTCACCGCCAAGAAAAGGTCACTCAACCGAAGATTGCTTCAGGTGAAGTACGCTTAACTTTGGAGTTCTTACAATTGAGTTACTGAAAAGGAAGGGACACCTTGTTAGTATATAGGTAGTAACTATCAATTATTTTAAGCTAGTATTTTCTTAACCATGCTTCCATAATCTCAGGATCTCTCTCATTCGGATGTGGTATCGATTCATTCATGTACCTCTCCTCTCAACTCGACCGTCACATAAGCTCATTTCAACGAGCACCTTAGTTCCTCTCTCGCCCAGCTCCTAAGCTCATCTCGGCTAATTCGGAGATAGCCTCCTAAAGATTAGACACCAAACTTTGAGCTACTGAGCTCAGATCCGATAGCCATAACCGTTCATCCGCTTGTAGGAACGACCCGAACGGTCATGTCCCTTCACTCCGCCTATAAAAGAACCTTCATTCCTCCAACCTAATTACACAATTCTGGTTCAAGAAAGACTTACTAAGCTTGCGCCTTTACTGAATTGAGCATCGGAGTGCTTGTTTCCTTTTTGCATGTCCCTTTTTGCATAAAGTCGCACCTTGACCAGTTTCCACATGGTTGTACCTTGATAGTGCGGCAGAATCTTGCTTCAACAAGTTGCTTTTAGATTTTTCTTTTTATCCATTATTTAGATTCACACCAATTATTGGACAAAAAGTAGGAGACCCATCCATCTATCATCTTAAAAAACATTTTTCCAAAAGTCAGAGTTTATCAAATTTAAATAGGAATGTCATTTTCTTCTCAAATGTTCTTCAATTCTTTTCGGCTTATGCTTTACTTTAAAATCTATTCAATTTAGGGTGGAGTAATGGTAAACAAACTAATTTTGGAAAAAGATATTTAACTATAATTGATTTTACAAAAGTGATTAGAATGTGTTTGAGATTGATTTTGCCATGTCAATATCACTTCATTTTATATTAACTAGGGGTCAGCATCAGTCGGTCGGGGTCAGATTTTGGCCAACTCCGACGTCGAAAACCGACATAGTTGATTTCAGTCGATTTCGTAGGTTCTTAGAAGATACTAAATATGAAATCATAATTGTTCAAAAATAAGTGGTGTGTGATTGAAATGCAGGGAAGAAAGATAAGAAAGGGATGAGAGGGGAAAAAAGAGAAGGGAAGAGTAGAAGAGAGGAAGTTTGTGGAATGCTCAAATGACTCACCCCTCAAAATGTACCTAAATGACACTTGAATATTTAATTAATTTTAAAAGGTAGCGAAATTACAGTACTACCCTTTGTTCAAAAAACCAAACCGCCCGCGCTACCTTTCCCCCTTCTTCGCCATATTCAGCCTCAGTTCGTTTTCTTGGTTTTTTTTCGCAGTCCCTTCGAATTTCTTCTTCAGTTTTGCTTCTCTTGGTGATTGGCTTCGATTTTATGTGTGTTAAGGAGTTGAATGGTGTTTATTTGCGTCAATTTAGTTTTTCGATGTTTAGATGAAAAAATACATGTATAATATTGCATCAATTTAGGTTTTTTCTTGTGTTCTTTGTTTCGTTCCCTATTTTTTCTTCGATTTTTCGTTTATGTTGGAATTGAGGTCTATGCCTGCGGGAGTTTGATTTGAAATGTTTGAGGTGGTGTGGTGGGAGGTTGAAGACGAACAAATACATGTATAATATTGCATCAATTTAGGTTTTTTTCTGTTGATTTTGTTTTTTGGTGTTCTTCTTTGTTTCGTTCCCTATTTTTTCTTCGATTTTTCGTTTATGTTGGAATTGAGGTCTGTGCCTGTGGGAGTTTGATTTGAAATGTTTGAGGTGGTGTGGTGGGACGTTGAAGACGAAGAAGTATTTCGGGCGAAGTGGGATGGACCTCGAGCGAGGTTGAAGAGATTTGAAACGTCGCTCAAGGTTTGGTAAGCCTCTGTCATTTTTCTCCGGTTCAACCTCGCCCAAGGTCGAACCTGGGAAAAATGACAGAGGCTTAGAAACTTTGAGGTTGCATCAACTTTTTCTATCACCAACCGTTGACCTCGACGAAACCTACGAAACTCCGCCCGAGGTTCATCGTTTCTTATGAAACTCGACCGGAAAACCATAACTCTCGCCCGAAGTTAATAGTCAACCTTCACAGAATCATGCCGAAATACGAAACTAAATTTAAAAATGACAACCTATTTGAAAATCAAAGCAAATGAAACAGTACTTTTCAAATGTAGTCCAATCTTAAGAAGAAATCAACAGCAGAAAAATTAAGGGCAATGGTTGTTGCGAATTAAATGATTCCCGGGCAAGAATTAATATGACCCCGGCCGAGGTTTTTTCCAACAGTCATGTCTTATAATTAAAAGCATTTTGGTCATTTTATCTCCTCTGACACATCATTAATGCTGAAAGTAGGTCATTTGGACACATTCTTAAAGGGTGGATCATTTGAGCATTTCAAAAACTTTTGAATGTGATTTGAGTCAATTTCCCAAGAACATGGAGGAAGAAAGAGAACAAAGGTGGAGAGAGAAAACATAAATGAAAAGAAGAAATGGGATAAAAACATAATAAAAAAAGAAAAAGAATGAATGAGATGAGAAAGAGAGAAATGGAAAAAGAAGAAATGGACAGAGCAACTATCAATTTAGTAGCATTGTGGACGACCCGTCGACAAACGTCGAGAGTGTTTTAGAGAAGTAAAGTGTCCTAGTGAATGACCTTTTCTTAAGGCCTGTGCCAAAACAACCTTCCATCCCTATGGAGGTGGGCCTTTTGCTCGGGAAAAAATTTTGTGCTTATGTGGATGGGTCGCTTCAATTTCCCAAGATATTTTCCTATAAAAGATGAGAAGTGTTTAGCTTCAAATGAGATGACTTGTGTACTTCCTTTGAGCCCCACGTCACCTCTTTCGCGACCCCTAAAGATATTTGGGAAACCATAAGTCATCTTGATTCTCAGGATGATTCTCCACCTTTCTAGAAAAATGGTTAAAAAAATAAAATATAATAATAAACAAATAAAAGTATATAAATACTTCTATATAATTCACCTCTCTCATGGGATGTTGGAATGGAATTTTATTATGTTTTTTTCCCTTTTTCTAATAAGTCAATCAATCGGCCGATTCCTTTGATTTTGGAAGAACTAACTAACTGACTTGTTGTGAGGATCGACTGATTCATCTTTTAAGACGACCGACTGACGTTGGTTCAATTTTTCAGTCTTCCATGCTCACCCTTAATATTAACCATGTTTAGCAAATTAAAAAATTAAAATTAGGAAAGTTTAAAATTACTTTAAATTGATTTAATATCAATAACTTTAGAAAATCAATTATACCCAAATCTCTTTTCTCAAAATCACTCATTCTACCACGCCCAAAAACACACTTTAGATTTGCACATATTGGAAAATGTCCAAATAATATGTCTCTATCCTATGATTGTTTTTTTTCAATAGGATGAACAATTAAGAACTTCTCTTAAATGACCTAATTCCAATTCAAAACTTATGTCAAATCCTCAAATCATAAATAATTATACCATGTAAGTTTATCCTAAACTAATTTTAACATTCATTAACCAAAAAAAATACATTTGAAACATATTAAAACACTAGACTAAATTATAACTTTTCAAACGATAAAAACTAAATTGAAAATATAACACTACGAATTAACTAAATTAACACCTAATATGAAGATTATCGCCACAAATTGGCTGTGGAGAGAAGGAATGTATGTAGTAGAAAAGGAAGAAAAGGAAAGAAAAAAAAAACTTAAAATTAGAAAATAATACACTAACACCAAATTCATACAATACAACACTTTGCTTGTGGTGCTCTTTCCTTGACTTTCTAAGTATTAATGCACCAATTTTTGAGGCCCATATGGTATTGGAAAATAGTAATAGGACGCCTTCTGAAAAATTAAAATATTAATTTCAATCAATACAACGCTAAACTTATCCACACATTTGAGATACTTCGACTAGAAGTTATTAACAAGAGGAATACGAATTTAAGGCCAATTTCAATATGACAATTTATACTCAGCTTTTTACTGTATTTAAGTATGGAAGTTCAACGTTAGATGTTTGAGTTTTGAAACATGATTTTTATTGGATGATTAATAGAAAATGATAAGAACTAAAATAATTTTAAGAATAAAGTTTAGACCAAAGCAAAACATTAATTAGTTAAAGTTGCGAGGCTAAAAATATGGATGATTTATTACCTTTACTGGGAGGCAACGTTTTGGATATTGTTGTGCTCCATTACGTATAAGAACAATTGAGGAGGATCTTCTCTGCTGTACAAATGTGAGAAAAGGCCAAATTAACAACAAACATTATAACAAAAACCAAAAAACTTGATGTATCATAAAACATACATATGATTCGACAGAAAGGTATACTATTCTTATGACAATCGATTATTTAATAGATGTATGACTAGTTGTAGTTGTACTTGTAGTAGGTATTGAGTGGTGAGCACACATGTAAAACATGTCAACATCAGCCTCAATACGCACCATAATCTACCTATGTAGCTTTAATACATGGTCGTGTTAGTACATTAACATACATATTCTAAGTCAAGTCATTCATTGGTTAAATATAATCAACAGTAGAATAATAAAAATGACCAAAATGATAATTTTATTTTAAGTTTAAGAACTAAAAGACTAGAGGATTTAAAGCATTCTTCTCAGCAAAAATTATTGCAGAAGGATAATGGCTATAAGGATTTGGAAGTTTTCAAATTTATAGAAAATTGATGTGTATATATACACACACACACGAAGAATGAAAAACAAAAATATCATACGAAGACAGTCCCACCTATGAGAATCTTAAAAACTCAGTGATAGGTTGAGGAGGACTTCCCAAAGTGCCGATATAAGCCTCTTAGGATGGCAATTTATCCTGCAATACTTTGAAATAATAACATTCTTATTTCTTATTTTCGTAATTGGTTATTATTAACGTACTTGTTTCTAATATTTTGAGAGACAGCGTAGCAAATAGGTTATCTACCACCTCCAATAGTCAGGTTATATTACTGCAGTGCTCCATCGTTATTACAAAACAGCATCAACAGAAGATAATAATGCCATTGGAAATAAATAAGTACAAAGTAAGAAAGATAATGAATAGAATGGCTAATAACGGACCTTTCTCTTGCTTCTTGAAACGTACAACTTGAAGCAACAGCCAAAAGTTCCCCTCCGCAGTTGTAAGATAAGGAAGCCACACTATTTGGAAATCTCGGCAACTGAAACCAAATGAACTAAGTTACCAGCTAAGTTTGCCATAGTGATGAGAGAACAAAACGAAGCTTCCACAAAGACGAGAGAACAAAACTCATGATGAGGGAGAAGACAATGAAACCAAATAAAGGTACAAAGACGTGCAAGAAAAATTTCCCTGCAATCAGGACAAAGAACAACCAGATGCAATAATGACAAAATGGAAGCTATCTCAGGCTCCTCTGAAAGCATAAAATCAAACGAGGGGGACCCTCCTTCACCATCCCTGCATTTATTATTAGAAGCCAAGCTAATACCAAATATCTCAAAAATCTTCTCTAGATATTCTGAACAAAGTGATATTTCTATGTAATATGATCCAAGTCCTCCGGCGCCCGCCTAATACATGACAAGCTATCAAGGGCTAACACGAAAGAGGAAGTTCTTAGGACAAAATCCAAGGTGTTGACCCTTCGCCTTCCCAAGGCTATGGGACAAGAGAAAAGTCACCTTATGTATGATAACCAAGAGAAAGAGGGACAAGAGGGACGAACAATCAAAGTGTAGAAAAGATATTTGTAGGAGAAAAACCTGCAAGGAATTTAGGTTCCAAACGTGAGAGTTGCTAAAATTAGAGAAAGGACAAATATCATGCGACAACAAAGAAGCAAAAATAAATCCGAACTCAAGATTATAAAGGGGTCTCCTCAAATGAAAGTAAGTTATGAGAGAGGGAAGGTAATTGTTCCAAGAAGGGAAAGCTAAGCTACCAAAACTGAAGAAACAAAAGCAATAACATGAAGTTGGCCAAAGGCTTTCAGCCTTTTCCTTTCTAGCCGAAGCACCCAAAACACTACACACCATTTTTTTTATATATAAGAAACAAAGAGGACATATTCAAAACCAAACTCAGAAAAGGGGAAACACAAAAGGCGGAGAGTAGAGAGAACCCTCCCCTAAAAACTATACAATCGCAATTTTCCAATCTTGTGGATAGAAGCCCACCAAGAAGCCGTATGCTTAATATTCACACAAAAAGAATATACCAAAGCCGCTTTTTCTTCAAAAATTCTGTCATTCCTCTCTTTCCATAGTAGCCAAAGGAGCGCTCAAAACTTGATAAAATTCACCTCATGACACATACCCTCAAAACTTTAGCTTAATCCTTCATACCTTGACCATAAAGGCATCGAGAAGAGGTGGATAAAGGGAGGATGGTTGCCTTACACCCGAAAGTCTAGAGATAAAATCCACCTCATGACTCCATAATGATTCCTATCACCATTAATTTCTTCTGGTTTATTTTGAGTCCCAAGAAAACCCAAAGACTTTGACCCAATTAAAGAGATTAGAAAATTTCTATTTTTCATAAATAGATGATATAAGGAACGTGTCATGTCATGGATAACATGAGCTTCAACTCTACCAATCTCAAAGCCTTCTATCGACCAAGAGGAGGCAGGTGCCTAGGCATGCTTTTCAAAATGTCACTGGTGGGGCACACCTCTATGCTTCAGGCTCTTCATTTATATATATTTTTAAAAAAATTACAATGAAATTACAAAAAACAAAACAAATTCTATCCAATGAAGTTACAAAAAAACTTCTCCAGTTGGGTACGAGAGAAAAACTTCTCTAGTTGGATATGAGCGAATTCAAGCTGTAGTTAAGGAAATGATATACATATTTGCACCAAGATAAAGCCAAAAACAATGTAGAGTTGATTAGATGTTGATGTTGAAGATCAATATCTTTGAAAGTTCTTGAGTTCCTCTTTTTCACGATAATCCAAATGAAAGCTTTGTTGATGTTCATCCATAAAATTGCTCTCTCATGCTTGAAAGGGTGGTGAATAAAGATAGATTCTAGCTATTCCTTGATGTTGCTTGGAAGGCTCAGCTGCTAGCCGAAAGCAGATAGGAAAAAAGACCATATTGAAAAATGGCAAAACATGAAAAAACTTGTTCTTTAAACACTATTACAGAAGAAGCACTACTTTCTAATCTTTCAATATTTTAATATTCACAAAAGTTGTCCACCAAAATAGAAAGCTCTTGTTTATTTTTCTTGCTTCACACCTGAACCCTATTGCGCTATTGCGCTTTAGTGCACCTCATGCTTTGAAAAACACTGGTCAAGAAAAAGGCTGAGGAGAGGATGAGAGAGAGAAGAGTGAGACCGATGGTTTGGTAGTACCATCCATCCTAAAGAGTCCTGAGAATAAGAAAAAAATATTTTCTCAGTGTCAAGGTCAGCTTGCGCACCCTCGACTAATCTCACAGGACAACCGTCTGACCGTACTACATTTGATTGCCAAGGATTAGGAAACACATAAGAAGTTAATTCCTAGATAGGTGGCCATTATAGGTTTGAACTCATTCCTTCTAAGTCTTTTTGATATAAGAAACAACTTTAATAACGACAAAAATGAATTAAACTGGATAAATAATAACTGATACCTCAAGTAGTCTTCTCTTGCTGTGGAAATCCCATATACTGACAAAGCCTTCATTATCACCCGTAGCAAAAGCGCCGTGGTGTCTAAATGAAAATATAAAATCAAAATAACGTAGCAAGAGATGTTGCCAAATGAACAGGAAAGGAATGATAATGCATACATTGGATTAAACGCAATAGCATTCACAGACTCCAAATGGTTTCTTCTAGCCTTTGACTTTGGGTGACACCAGAAAATATATCTGCTCAAAAAAATAAAAGGAATAATTCGTAAGAATGATGCACTCCAAATATAATTACAGAAGGCCAAAAAATGGTCGAGGAAAATCATAAATATTTTTCTTTGCCACTACGAAAAATATAAAGAATATAAATAAGAATACAAAATAAATGCCAAGCTATCATGAAAATTAAAGGTACGCCATGGTTCTGGAGAGCTAAGGCATTTATGTTGTCAGGTACAGTATATTAAATTTCATTTCCAATAGGAAAGTATATTTAATTTAATTATTTTTTGTGTAATAGAAAGCTGCTTAGCATGATATAGCAATGCAACTTTTCAGCAGCCAAACAAATAACTCAAATTTCATTAAGGTTCAGCTTAAACATGACACAAAAAATATGCACTAGATAACACAATTGACATTCGAATACATGCACAATACGAAAACACCCTGGTCGAAATG